GTCCATATACCCATGTTTGCTTTCACTGACAACTCAGTACTGTATATGCAAAAGGGTTCATATTTGTTGTCTGTACTGCCCATGTACCTCTCTATTCCAAGGGTGTAATTTTTAAGAGAGTAGACTGCCACATCTTTACCCTGCAGAGTGGCTGTTGTGCCAAACTGCCAGCCTTTAGGTTAGCAGCCTAGTGCTTAACCATTATGTTATCAGGACTCTTTTGGAGGTCAGTCTTACAGGCTGTAAAATCAGTCCCTCCTGTAGGTCCTAGGTTGGTGGAGCAACCAGATTGTCAGGTGGCTTGGTAGCCTGGGCAACTCATCTTTGTGGATGGATCAAACAGAGCAGAAGAGGGATGACTCGTCTGAGGGTGAACAGATCTACCACCCACACAGAACCTACACCCAGAAAGAAGAGAGTATCAGCTGGTACCCCATTGGGGCACACCTCTGCCTTATTCATTCCAGAATGGTTAGGTGACATGCTGGTAAGAAGAAATGATCACCTACTTTATATATCCAACATTCTGGTGGCATAGTGCCTAAGGCATTTGACTGCTAACCAGAAGGCTGGTGGTTTAAACTCACCAGCCACTCCTCGGAAGGAAGGTTGGGCAGTCTACTTCCGTAATGATACCACCTCGGAAACCCAAGGAGGGGGCGCTATGAGTCGGATCTGACTTGAGGGCAGTGAGTTTGGTTTTTTGATAGTATCTGTTTAAGTGAGTCTATAGGAAAATTATCTTAGGCTCTTAGATGTTTATAGCCTAAAGTGGGGGACACAGATGTAATTCCCGCTAGAAATAAAAATCTAAACCTGAAAGTTTGCATATATTTTATGACAATGTTTCTCATTTGGTTTTGTACACCTACAGATCTATTAATTTCAGAAGAGTATTTTATTTAAAATAGTATGTGCTAAACAAGGGAACTGTTTAAATTCCAATCAATCATGATCTTTTTTAACCAGCTAATGAAAGGAAGGTAAAAGTAGTCCTTCATTCATCAGGAATGATATCTTGTATTTGAGCAACATTCAGTAGTTTATGATTATACCAGTAGTGCCCAGATATTTTTACTAACACATACTGTCATCCCTTGGTAACTATGAGGTCAAGACACAAATACCCCCATACCAAATTCATGGATGTCTGAGTCCCTTGTATAAAATGTCATAGTATTTGCATATAATCTATGCACATCCTCTTCTATATTTAAAATTATCTCTCAGTTACTTATAATAACTAATGCAATGTAAATGTTGTCTAAGAAGGTCTTTATTCTCTCTCTGAGCCTTTGAAAGATTGCTCTGACTACTTAATTACTTTTTTAAAAAAAATTTTGTTCTCGAATATTTTCTATCAACAATTGGTTGAATCTGTGGATATGGAACCTGCAGATATGGAGGACCAACTAATGTGGCTCTAAGAGTGTATGGGACCACTTTTTTCCAAATGGTTGACAAATTCATTATAAAATATTTATAGATTTAAGAACTATAAAGTTTTTTCCAAGGGGGGGGGAATGCCTCAAAGTCAATAGTAGGAAAAACCCTGGCATTTCTGTTTTGCAATGCAAACCAAAACACTGTTTTTTGTGTTTTGGTTTTTTTTGGTAGGAACCACTTAAGACCTTTTTTCCCTAAATAAATAATATTTATGTACTTTTGTCATACTTGATTATTTCTGTAGGCCTATTGCTTTTTGAAGGAGCTCTGGTAGCACAGTGCCCAAGCATTTGACTGCTAACGAGAAGTCTGGCGGTTCAAACCCACTAGCCACTCCTCAGAATGAAGGTTGGGCAATCTATTTCCATAATGATACTGCCTCCAAAACCCAAGGAGGGGTCGCTATGAATTGAGTCTGACTGACTTCATGGCACGTAACAACAACAACATTGATTTTTGATGAGGTATATAAACATGAGTCAGAATTGACACGATGGCAGCGGGTTTGGTTTTATACATATATATTGTGGCGTAGTGCCTAAGGTACCCGAGTGCTAACCAGAAGGCTGATGGTGGTTCAAACCCACCAGCCACTCCTTGGAAGGAAGATTGGCCAGTCTCCTTCCATAGTGACACTGCTCGATGGCAGTGAGTTTGGTTTATATTTAAATCAAAGATAAATCTGATACAGATTGAGGAGGTGGTATTGGGGGGATTAATGAGTGTGTATCAATATCAGTTTGTATATTCTAGGAGGATGGACTCAGGCAAGTTCTGGAGGAGATGAAAGCTTTATATGAACAAAACCAGTCTGATGTGTAAGTTTTGATAAGATTATTTTAAAAAACAGTTTAAGAAATAAGATGTTTGATCAGATAACTTTGCATCATAGTTTGGGTTTTTTCTCTTTCTAATTTTATTTTCTTATTTCTCTGTTCACTTGATCATATTCTAGTTGTATAGCTTAACGCAGTAGAAGGGTTTGTGTTGGTCATTGCTGTATCCACATTGTAGGTACTTAATAAATATTTGTCATTTGATAAAACTAGATAGGATTTAGCACAGACCTAAAAGAGATGAAATACGAGCAAATAAAAACACTAACAAAGTGGAAAACATTGTTTTCATTATTTGTCTTCATTTAGATGCCTTAATACATTTGAAAAGGAAAATAGTCAATAGATAAACATTGTAGGAGGAGCAGCAGTGATTTCTGATAGCTTAACTAGGATTTGCTGAGAACTAGTGCTCCAAAAAAGAATTGGTTGAGTCATATCAGGAGGGTAGTATATGATCAAGAAACAGTGGTATTGAAGGAAGAAGTCCAAGCCTCACTCAAGGAATTGGTGAAAAACAAGGCTTCAGGAATTGACAGAATACCCATTGAGATGTTTCAACTAATGGATGTAGCTCTGGAGGCACTTACTCATCTGTGCCAGGAAATTTGGGAGACTTGGCCACTTGACTAGAGGAAGAGATCCATATGTGCCAACAGAATGTGGAAATTACTGAACAATATCATTAATATCACATTAATATCAAAATTGTGCTGAAGATAATTAAAAAATATTGTAGCAGTATTATTGACACAGAACTTCCAGAAATGCAAGCTGGATTCAGAAGAGGATGTGGAATGAGGGATATTTTGATGAATATTACCTGAAATCAAAGAATATCAGAAAGATGTGTACCTGTGTTTTATTGTCTATGCAAGTGTTTTATTGACTATGCAATGGCGTTTGACTGTGTGGAACATAAGAAATTATGGATAACATTGCAAAGAATGGGAATTTCAGAGCACTTAATTGTGCTCGTGAGGAAACTGTACATATATAGACCAAGAGGCTGTTGTTCAAACACAACAAAAAATACCGCATGGTTTAAAATCAGGAAGTGCATACATTAGTTTTGTCTCCTTTCACCATACTTATTGAATCTGTATACAGAGCAAATAATACAAGAAGCTGGACTGTATGAAGAAGAATGAGGCATCAAGATTGGAGGAAGACTGACTGACAACCTGCAGTATACAGGTGACACAAGCTTGCTTGCTAAAAGTGAAGATGACAGGAAGCACTTCTGATGAAGATCAAAGACTGCATCCTTCAGTATGGATTTTACCTCAACATAAAGAAAACAGAAATCTCATAATTGGACTAATAAGCAATGTCATAATGAAAGGAGAAAAGATTGAAGTTGTTAAAGACTTCATTTACCTTATATCAAAAATCAACTCATGGAAGCAACAGTCAAGAAATCAGACATGACATTGCACTGGGCAAATCTGTACAAGACCTTTTTAAAGTGTTAAATAGCAAAGATGTCACTTTGAACACTAAGGTGTGCTTAAGGTAGGCCATGATATTTTCAGTCACCTCATATGCACATGAAAGGTGGACAATGAATAGGGAAGAGCGCAAAACAGTTGAAGCCTTTGAATTGTGTTGGTGAAGAATATTGAATATAGTACCATGGACTGCCAGAACAGACAAACCTGCCCTGGAAAAGTGCAGCCAGAATTCTCTTTAGAAACAAGAATGGCCAGGCTTCATCTCACCTACTTTGGTCATGTGATCAGAGGAGGGGGACAGTCCTTGGAGAAGAGTATCATGCTTGGTAAAGTGGAGGGTCATTGAGATGGATTGACACAGTGGCTGTAGTGATGAGCTCAAGCATCGCAAAGATTGTGAAGATAGCCCTGAACAGGGCAGTGTTTTGTTCTGTTGTAAACAGAGTCAGTATTAGTCTGAATCAACTAAATGGTACCTAACAACAGTGCTGCAAAAGGCTACAGTTCAAGTAGGCTGTCATTTTTAGGTATTAAGAGTTGAGTGTGCTGTCTAGCACAGCATGCTAGACAGCTGGATAATTTGGGCTCTCTTTTTCTATATTTTGTTGTTGAGAATATATACAGCAAAATATGCATACCAGTGCAACCGTTTCTTCATGTATAATTCAGTGATATTGATTACATTTTTGAAGTTGTGCAACCATACCTTCCTTTCATGAGTTGTTCCACCCTCATTAATATAAATTTGCCCCTTAAAGTTCTTCTAATCATTTCAGTTGCTGGTATCAATTTGATTCTATATAAATAGTTCTTTAAAGAGCATAATGCTCAAGGCAGACCTTTCTTACTAGCTAAAGTATGTTGTTTGGTTTTAAGATCACATTAGGCATATTTTAGGTTTAAAGTTTAAATATTATCTCAGAAATAGTTTCTGGGGTTCACCCAGCCTCCATAACTCCAGAAAGTCTAGAGTCCATGGGAATTTGAAGTTCTGTTCTGCATTTTTGTGCTTTTGATCAGGATTGTTCCCTTGTTTTTTGAATCTTTATTGTGATTTGGGTGACATTATACAAGACAAATTCATTTTCTATACAGTGCTTTACATACACTTTGTCTCATGACAAGACTGCAGTTTCTCACAATGCAACAGCTCTCTTCCCACTTCCTCCTCATAGTTACCTCTTCCTTGTGTCCTTCCGTCCCATGTACTCCTGCCCCCCCCAGCTGTCTCCCGGTGCATACACAGCCCTTCTGTTCTCCCATGATTGATCTCTCCAAGGAATGTATCTACCTAATGTAAATATTCAGCTCATACACATGTACACGTCTTTTGTTTGACTGGAAGCCACAAGAGTAGGTTTAATTCCAGACGTGAGGGGCAGCTAGGGGCCATACTCACCAGGCTCTATCAGAGCAGCATACCTGGTCCTATATTTTTTGCGATTTTGAGGTTTTTTTTTTTTTTTTTTATACCTTGCCAAGTTGGCACATAAGACTAACCATCACATGAACCTGGAGGACATTATGTTGAGTGAAATAAGTCAATCACAGAAGGACAAATATTGTATTTGCTCATTATTATAAAAAGTCAAGGAAAGGTTTATCTACAG